GGTGCACAAGCAACAGGGATGACCGCAAGCTTGAGAATACTGTCAAGCAAAGCCGATTCAAACACTTGGGAGAGCTTCACTGAAGCTGGAGTCAGTGCATCGAGAGTCACCACACTCAGACGTCTTCAGGAAAACTTCTGAAACAGAAACAACGTCAGAAGCATCTCACCTGGGCTACGGAGAAAAAGAACTGGACTGTTGCTCAGTGCTCCAAAGTCCTCTTTTCAGATTAAAATACATTTTGCATTTCATTTGGAAATCTACGTCTGGAGTCTGGAGGAAGACTGGAGAGGCACAGAATCCGAGCTGCTTGAATCCAGTGTGAAGTTTCTGAAGTCAGAGATGATTTGGGGTGCCGTGACGTCTGCTGGTATTGGTCCATTGTGTTTTATCAAGTCCAAAGCAGAACACTTTATGCTTCCATCTGCTGACAAGCTTTATGGAGATGCTGATTTCATTTTCCAGCAGGACTTTAGCACCAACCCACAGAGCCAAAATCACTTCCAATGATATTACTGTGCTTGATTGGCCAGCCAACATGCCTGACCTGAAGCTCATATGGAGTCTATGGGATGTTTTCAAGAGAAAGATGAGAAGCAATGGATCCGAGCTGAAGCTCAATAGTGTCTCAGCAGAGCCACAGGCTGATCACTTCCATTCACTCCTCACTGATGCTGGAGTTTGTGCTGAACGAGCCCCGACCAAGTATTGAGTGCAGAAATCAACATACTGTAAACAACTTGAGCTTTTCTGTTTTGCAAATCCTTTTTTTGATTGATCTTATGAAATATTAGAATATTTTGAGATACTGGATTTTTGAATTTCATGAGCTGTAGACTCTAATCATCAAAATTAAAACAAACTTTTGAAATGTTTTACTTCACATGTAATGAATCTAGAATATATGAAAGTTTCACTTTTTGAGATAAGTTACCAAAAAATGAACTTTTCCATGATATTCTAATTTTTGAGATGCACCTGTATATCCCAACATACAATCATGACTCATGTATATACATATATATATACACACACACATAATGCATTACATCATGTGAGATTAATAGATGGCGCAAATCAACTCTCCAAATCAAATTTAGAAGTTAATTTTGGATTGTTATACAATAATTGATATCAAAGGTAAAACAGTTAATGTAGACAGATAGCCATCTCAAACTTGGTCGTGTGGGGAGAAATATTTTTATTGGGCAGCTCTATCAAGAAATTTAAACATGGTAAGCCCCAAAATCTGACAGATACTTCGAGACTTTTAGATATTACCAATTACTATTAAATGATTGTTACTTTTTTGATACAAATAGAATAACAAGCCGTCAAAAAAGGACATGGTAATGGAAAATATATGAGGTGGGAAGGAAAATTACATTTTAATGCTCATGCTTTGGCTCACACAGGTTTCTCAGGGAAACACAACACTTAACTAAACTAGTGTAGTATAGCTATTAATGAGCAAAACTAATATAGTTTTCTACTTTCTCATGACCACATCCCTTTGTAGATTCGGCACACAATAAAAGTTTAACAAGTTTAATCAATGATTAAAACTCACTTCACCATGACATCTTTGGATGATGTTTACTTGCTCTCATTTACTGTATATGGAAGAGAACTTTTATTGCTGGACATGTTATTGGGTCTTGTTCAGTGAAGACGCGGCATCACGCCTGAAAGTACAGGATCTGAACATGAACTACTTACTGTGACTTCAGTCATACACTTTTCCTGTGAACGATTAAATCAGATAAATGAGTGAACCTCTTCCCACATGAAAGGCAGTGATATCGCTTCTCTCCAGTGTGGATCATCTCATGTATTTTCAGATATTCTGGCTAGAGCCCGACCGATATGGGTTTTTGGGGGCCGATACGGATACCGATATTAGGGAGTAAAAAATAGATATATCGGCCGATATTATTTGTGTATATTACAGTACCAGTCAAAAGTTTGGACACTTTCCCATTAGTGTGTCCAAACATTTGACTGGTGCTATATATAGAATACAGTATATACATAAACAGAATATATATACATAAACATTTTTTGCAATGATAATTCAAATGTGGTGATCAAACACTTGTAATGACGTGACAAAGATATGTAATGGAGTCAGGGCATTTAACAATTTAACAATAAACTTTATTATCCAATGAGTCCAACATCAGTGCACTGAACATGTTGAATGTTCCGAAGTGAAATAAACTTAAACTTTATTCACGGATTTGCGCTACTGTCTTCACACACAGACGAAACTTACTAGAGAAGTGTGAAGTGTGACATAATATACCTCTGTAAATAAATACAATATAAATTCACGTCTCGCGCACTTTAATGCGCTTTGAATGCAACGTGTACGTTCCCTTGGAACTGGAATCATGGCGGAATATCATGTGAAGTCCACTTCGCAGGGCACTTACGGTCGAATAAGACAACGCTTGAATGCGGCTGCCTGAACAAGAGACCTCCTTACTGAAGTGAAAGTGTTGACTGGTGTCACTATCTCGCGAACGCGCCGGCGGATCTCCACCAAATTCGGGGGATCCCTTCAGCTCGAGGAGCCCTCCTTCAGCTCGAGGAACCCTCTCGAACGCCACCCTCCGTGCATCGGTAGCCCCCCGGGATCGCTAGATCGGTCGGCTCCCGACCGCAAATTTAACCACCTGTAACTCCCGAACCCCGGGGGCTATCGACGCGGGGGTGGTCTCATTCAAGAGGGTTCCTCGAGACGTACACTCGATTCGGCATTCAAGAGGGTTCCTCGAGCTGAAGGGATCCTCCAAATTTGGTGCGGCCGTTACGGAGATATAGCCATTCAAAGTTTCAATGGTATTCCATACACTTAAACTTGAAAGTGTTTCATCCAGGTCGCCAGTAGCAAACAATGGAGCGCGCTCTGCTGGACAAACTACGTAATTACACTATTTACAACCATTTTATGTTCTGTAAAAAAAAATTTCATATCGGCGGCATATTCGCCGATACATCTGCAACAGGCTCATATCGGCCGATAAAATCGGCGAAACGATATATCGGCCGGGCTCTAATTCTGGCCGTTTGAATCTCTCGTCACAGTGTGAACACTTGTAAGGTTTTTCCTCAGTATGAACTTTCTGGTGCATTTTCAGTTCAGAATCTCTAAAAAAAAATTAAAAAAGCCCTTCCGTACTCATAACAAATATCATCCTTCACACCGCTGTGTCTTTTCAGACGTGTTTTTAAATTACCCATCTGTCTAAAACTCTCTGGACAAAAAGAACATGTGTAAGTCCTCTCCCGTGTATGCACTTTTAGGGAATCTTCCCTAAAATATGTTTTACTGCACTGGTCACACTTATATAGTCTTTCTCCAGAAGGAGTATGCGGATGTTCTCTTAAAACCCCTGACTTTCTGAAACTCTTTCCGCACTGTTCACATGTGAAGGGCTTCTCTCCAGTGTGGATTCTCATGTGTTCATAAAGAGTTCCTTCAAGTCTGAAATGTGTACGGCTTCTCTTCAGTGTATTTTCATGTGTTTTATAAGGCGTTCTTTTTTTACGAAACCCTTTCCGCACTGTTCACATGTGAAGGGCTTCTCTCCAGTGTGGATCCTCATGTGTTTTTTAAGGTGTTCTTTTTGTATGAAACTCCTCCCGCACTGATCACATACATGCGGCTTCTCTCCAGTGTGGATTTTCATGTGATCGTTATAATTTCCTTTATGTCTGAAACTCTTCCCGCACTGATCACATGCGAAGGGTTTCTTTCCAGTGTGGATTCTCATGTGTGTATTAAGGCTTCCTTTATGTCTGAATTTCCTCCCGCACTGATCACACGTGTACGGCATCGCTCCCGTGTGGATTTTCATGTGTTCATAGAGAAATCCTTTAAGTCTGAACTTCTTCCCGCACTGATCACACGTGTGTGGCTTCTCTTCAGTGTGGATCGTCTCATGTATTTTCAGATATTCTGGCCATGTGAATGTCTTGTCAGAGTGTGAACACTGGTTAGGTTTTTCTCCGGTGTGAACTGTCTGGTGCTTTCTCAGTGCATGAACTGTAAAAAACGTCTTTCCACACTCCGAGCAAATATGATCCTTCACACCGCTGTGTCTTTTCAGATGTGTTTTTAAATTACCCATCTGTCTAAAGCTCTTTGCACACAAAGAACATACGTAAGGCCTCTCCTGTGTATGAACGGTCATGTGGTCCTTCAGGAAATCTGCCCTAAAAAATGTTTTACTGCACTGGTCACAGTTATAAATTCTTTCTCTAGAATGAGTGAGCTGATGTACTTTAAAAACACTTGACTTTCTGAAACTCTTCCCGCACTCTTCACATGTGAAGGGCTTCTCTCCAGTGTGGATTTTCATGTGTTCATTAAGCTGTCCTTTTTGTATGAAACTCTTAGCACACTGTTCACATGCGTACTGCTTCTCTCCAGTGTGGATTTTCATGTGATCGTTATAATTTCCTCTATGTCTGAAACTCTTCCCGCACTGATCACATGCGAAGGGTTTCTCTCCAGTGTGGATATTCATGTGTGTGTTCAGGTTTCCTTTATATCTAAATTTCCTCCCGCACTGATCGCATGTGTGCGGCTTCTCTCCAGTGTGGGTTCTCATGTGTTCATTAAGGATGTGTTTTTGTTTGAATTTCTTTCCACACTGACTGCATGCGTGCGGCTCTCCAGTGGTTTTTCTCCAGGGCTTCTCTCCTGCGTGGATTTTCATGTGATCGTTATAATTTCCTTTATGTCTGAAACTCTTCCCGCACTGATCACATGCGAAGGGTTTCTTTCCAGTGTGGATATTCATGTGTGTGTTCAGGTTTCCTTTATGTCTGAATTTCCTCCCGCACTGATCACACGTGTACGGCATCGCTCCCGTGTGGATTTTCATGTGTTCATAGAGAAATCCTTTAAGTCTGAACTTCTTCCCGCACTGATCACACGTGTGTGGCTTCTCGTCAGTGTGGATTTTACTGTGTTTGGCAAGGTTCGCTTTTTGCGTGAAAGTCTTCTCGCACTGATCACATGCGTACGGCTCCATTCCACTATGAAATTTCATGTGAAGATTAAGACTTTGTTCGCATGAGAAACTCTCTCCACACTGAGGGCAAGTGTCATGTTTCTCCCCCGCTTCCATCAGTTCTTCAAGCACCTTGTTCTCTTCCGTCAGGCCTAAAATGAAAGTTAAAAAGTTAGATTTTCATGTGAAAGGATAAGGATGTGAACCTTGATACATCAGCAGAAAGTATGATCATTTTGATGCATTCATTTGAACTGGGTACACTGATCATTCCAATTATTTTTAAAACACGACGGGCAAAAATTGCGTTTTTGTAGTGAAAAATATTAAATATTAACATTTTATAAATCAGAGTTGTAAAATGTTCAAAAGTTTAGTTGCAACACTGTTGCAAAAATTGTGAACCAAATACAAGTAAAAGTAAAATAAAACAGCTCAGATGATATTTATTCTGACATCCTGATGTTTGCAATGAGTATGAATGTTTTTAAAACCTCCTTTTTTGTTGGAAACCAAAAGCAAAATTGAGTTTCACTCCTGTTTCACACCGCAAGTGTGAACGGCGTGTCAGCTTCACTTTTCCTTTGAAGAGATGTCTTTGTTGTATTTATTGGTGGGATCAAAGTACTTTGAGCTTTTTGACCTTTCCATTTAATTATTATTATTTTACCTTTATGTAGTGCTTACAATAAAAGACTGTGTCAAAAGCAGCTTTGCCTCAATGCAAAAAAACATTCAATTCTGCCGTGAAGCAGCTCTAGAAGTATATATAATCATATTGTCTGGCTAGTTTATTTTTAAACTTGTTTCTAATTATGTATTCTGCATTTTCTGTTGACATACTCCAATTCTTGTTAAAACACACTAGACATGCATATTTTGTGCAATTTTACAACTTTTTGTGTGAAATCATGTATTTTGTCTTACGCGCTGCTCCCGGTGTGAATACACTCATTTGTTAAAATGCGAGCTGAAAAAAATATGCACTGCTCACGCTTGCGGTGTGAAACCGGCCTTAGGCTCCATTCTGTGCCCAGTTGATTGAAAGCTACCTGGATATTATTTGATTTGAATCTGCAGTACAGAAGAGTTTTTGGTTTAAAACGGACAAAAGTCTATCAAATATCGGCCAAACACATAGTAAACCGTGTTCAGAACAGCAAAATAGCAACCTTACAGTAATGATTTATAATTTGAATGGTCAGGCTGGATTTCGTGGGACTCTTTACCTGATGACGTCATGTCCATAAAGACAAAAAGAAAAAAAACATTTCAGAGATGGCATCAACTCTGAAACTTTAATTGTAATAGATCCAAGATGGCACAGTGAAGGAATGTTCACACTGGTAAATGAACACCGGTACTAACAATAACACATGGGGGTGGGGGGTGAAGATATGGTATACAACTGTATATAATTAGCGTGCATCAGGTAGCCGCTATCAATACGCAGGGTACTGAAATCGCTTTTGTATGGGAGTTCGCGTTTCATTTTCTGTGTATAGCGAGCGGTTTCCTCCAGTGAAAATGTAGCCTTTATACTTTATAAACGATCATGTTGCTATTTTCATTTGAAAATGTTATATTTAATATAAAACAACAAACCCAAACGATACCCAACCCTAAACAGCTGAAGACATTACTTGCTAATACTAGTCTTTACATTTTTTTACATGACGTCTTTAACTTTTGGAGTTTTGACATTGTTGGTTACATTAGCTCTGATAAAACGAGTGCCTTTAACCACAGCTGTTAGTACGCCTCTAGTCACGGACCGCTGGCTGAAATCTGACGCATACGGCACACTTAACTGGAAACACTTCAGCAGTTTCGAAGTCGTCCTCTGATTGGTTGAAGTGTACAGGATTTCCAGGAGACGCATGTGTCGCGTTCTTTACCGGTCCACCTGGAAACAACCCAAAGCCGTCTGATCGAAGAAGAAAGCTTTGTGTTTACATCGGTGGCAACGAGCATCAATCAAGATCATGGCCGTAGCCAGGGTTTCAAAATTAGTGAGGTCTGGGTGCAATAATAATGGCTAGTACTATTTTGATAACACAGTTTCGTACAGATAATATCCTAATGATCATTGCCTTTGTCTTACCGGATGTGGTCTCCTCAGCAATAAACTATCCGCGCGCGCAGGTTAAGTGCCAGCGATGCAGTGTTGCCAGATAGTTACGAAAAACAAGAAAAAGCATTCCCCGAAAAATGGACCAAAGTAAGTTCCAATCTTGTATTTTGCAAATAAGATACAGAATCGCTAACCCCAACCTTCATCGTCCCACTTTATTAACACCCTAATTACTTTATTAACGTAGTCACATTAAGTATGAAAAAGTCCAACGATGCTTATAGTATCATAACAAGATCTGGCAACATAGCGGAGCGGAGGCTGCTCTCGCGCTTTGAGTCAGCAACATGATTTTAAATCATTTTTCATTCATAGAACTTAATTTTCTTTTTGAACATGAAAAATTTATCTCATAGCTGGCTACGGGCTTGATCAAGATAGATTAAACGCTGGATTCACGGTATAAACTGTTTAAATGACGTTCAAGATTTTTGCTCGAGGCATCAAAAAGACATATATATACCCCCTGACAATGTAAAGCACTTTGAGTGCCTAGAAAAGCGCTATATAAATGTAATGAATTATTATTATTATTATTATTGCGAAGATTTTGGAGAAAATAGTCCTCCAGAAATTTTTTCACATTTTTCAATCTGGTTTTAGAAAACATCATTCTAACGAGACTGCTTTGTTGAAGGTTTTTAATGATGTACCAATAACGTGATTCTGGTGAATATGCTGTTCTTGTGCTTTTAGATTTAACTGCTGCTTTTGATACAGTAGATCATGCTGTTCTTATTGCTCATTTGAAACATTGTGTAGGCATTACAGAGAGTGCACTGGAGTGGTTTAAATCTTATTTTTCCAACAGAAGCTTCTCAGTTAAGATTGGAGCGTATACCTCTAGTAATGCTGTATTACCGTGTGGGGTTCCTCAGGGCTCCATTTTGGCCCCAATTATTTTTTCTCTTTACATGCTGCCACGTGGTTCTATTATTAGAAAACATGGGCAGTCATTCCATTGTTACACTGATGACACACAAATGTATCTGCCCCTCAAGCGAAATTCAGATGGTTTGGATAACCTCTTGGCCTGCTTGACTGATGTAAAGGCATGGCTTTCTTTAAACTTTCTGAATTTCAACGAGAGTAAAACAGAAATGATTATATTTGGACCCTAAATACCTACTAAATGGTATGGCTCCAGCTTACCTTACGGTCCTACTGCCTGAGCACCATTCAACCAGTATCACTCAGGCTATCTTTAACTCTTATTCCACAGCTCTTATGAAGTTTCCAACGGCAACCACTAAATCCGACGAACCACTTTAAGTTATATACCCTTACCGAAGAATCAAGAAAAAACACCAACCTATGTGTTCTTCACCATCATCTTGTTTTATTCTGCAGGGTTCTGGACCATCCATGTTCTCGCCGTTCTTTTATGAAGTCTATCTTCGTCACGGAACCACCAAAATGAAAAGTAAATCAGTTATCAAATTGATGCTTTTCAATACTTTATTATATTGTTAGAAAATATTAATATTTTGAATGCGGTTCTTTAATTTTTATTCATCAAAGAATCCTGAAAATAGTATCGCAGTTTATAAAAAAAATAAATATTGTGCAGCACAACTGTTGATAATTCTAATAATAAATCAGCATATTAGAATGATTTCTGAAGATCATGGGACTCTTTATGCTGGCGTAATGATGCTGAAAATTCAGCTTTGCATCACAGAAATAAATTATATTTTAAAGGATATTAAAATAGAAACCATTATTTTATATTGTAATAACATTTTACAAGATTACTGTTTTTTTCTGTATTTTTGATCAAATAAACGCAGCCTTGATGAGCAGAAGAGACTTCTTTAAAAACATCAAGTCTTACAGATCCCTAACTGTTGAACAGCAGTGTAAACGTGAAACAAATTCAACTCATGTATATTTTGTCTGTGTGTCAATCTGTTTTTAGCATTATTAATTATCCCTTTTCGACATGAAGAGGCATTACTTTTATATTCCCTCTTGTTAAGTCTTATCAGGCAGATGTGAGACTGTTAACCAGTTAAATAGCTTTAATTACAGTACAGCATCACGTTCATATGAACCTACATTTAGTTATTGAACACTTTTATGGCACACTTTAACATCAGTAACTCGTTAGCATGTTTACACACGGCTAGCGTTAGCTCGCGTCTCGCACGCGGCCCACACAACACAACTCATCTCAGTTAGCTAGCGAGTTTGAAACACATCTCTAGCACACAAAAAAAACATCGGGAATATGTGAAATATAACTCACCGAGACAAGAACTCAATATCTATTGATGCTCCTCGAGTCTCCGCCTCGTCTTCACTCCGGTGACTTCAGGTTTGCTCGTCCGCTCTAAAGTGCAGTCTTTAGCCTGTTCTCTGTCCTTTATTATGATTTCACACAGTTTCTGCAGGTCGCTCTGCACGGCTGCTGTGTTCTGTCTCTCTTCTTCTTCTTCTAATGTTTATTAGCGGTTGGCAGACTAGTTTATTAGTGCTTTACCGCCACCATCTGAACTGGAGTGTGGAGCATCGATGCATGTGTATCATACTAAATAATAATAATAATAGTCATAAATAAATAAATAAAGATACAGGACATTACATAAGAATATAATGATGTTTAAGATATTTTAACAAAGTTAAACGTATTCCTTTTTAGCTTACTTATATCTTCTAACATCACGCTTCCACCATCTTCTATTACGTTAGCTTCTAGCGTTTGGCATTCGTTGTTACATGCTCTACAATGCAGCAGCGCATGCTCTACAGTTTCAACAATCCCACAATGCATGCACGATCCATTCGGATGTGTCTTGATTCTATTTAGATTTCTATTCAATGCAGTATGTCCTGTTTTAATTCTTCTCGTCTTCTCAATCCCATGTCATTGTTACGTACTCCTACTTCTCTTTGAATTCTATATAGATGTCGTCCAGTCTTCTGCTTCTCCCAAAGTTCCTGCCGTGCATTTATAAGAGCTTTCCTAATTATTATTTTTGCTTCTGCCTTACTCATTTTTATGTCAATTCCTATCTGATTCCAGTTCAAAGAATTCTTAGCATGCTTATCTGCATTTTCCCCATTTCCTTCAGCTCCAGCATGTGCTGGAACCCAAATAAATGAAATAAAAATGCCTTGATTTTTCCATTCTATATACAGTATATATACTGCAGTATTTCCAGTATGACATCTTGTCTGCAGTTAGACTGGCCTGATTGGATGCTCTTTAACGCAGCCAATGAATCTGAACATATTACTGCTTTTTTTAATTCTATTTTCCTCTACCCACTGGAGAGCCATAACAATAGCTACCAACTCTGCTGTAAACACAGAACATGTGTGTGTGTGTGCGTGCACATAGTTGTGCACACATCTGTGCACGTCTGATTGATTTTGCATCTAATACGGTCAAAAACACACAAGGTTTACATTTAAACACAGTTGGTTATGTCTAAAACAAAAGTAAACAGTTGAGAGAGAAACGGATGCGTGCAGCTCTTAAAGGGACAGTAGCTACTAAACATGCTGCCGCTTGTCATTAAAGGAATAGTACACCCAAAAATTACATTTCTGTCATTATTTGCTCACTCACATTGTCCCAAACCTGTATTAATGTCTTTCTTCTGCTGAACACAAAATATGATATCTCGAAGAATGTGGGTTACCAAACAATCTTATTTTTTTTAATAGACCCTTTTCACATTTCCGTGTTTCTCAGCAGCGCAGTCATCATAGATGGGTAACTCTATAGTGGTGAATGGGAGACTACCACAAATATATATATATATATTCAGCCCTGTTAAGTCGAATTCTCCTAATGCGTGCTTATTGTCATTTATTTAAACATGTAGTGGCCTTTAATTTGTGACTTCAATCATTTCAAATAAAACTGATTTTTTTTGCTGCAGAAGTTTAATAGAATTGGTTAAATTCAAAGAAAGCAAGCATTAAATATGTAAAACAATTGTATAAAGGCAGCAAATACACAGCACTAACACGGCGGTAGAAGTATTATTCTGGTGCATTTAAATCTGTACAGTTAAGTAAAAATCACGTCTTCTTCTGGTGATTGGTTAATGATCTAAGCTAGTCACATGACTGTAGGTTCTACTGATAAGCACTTTTTGGGCGAGTCTAAATTCTTGAATCACATGATGTATTCAAATGGATACACGAGCTGCGTCCCAATTCGCCTACTTATACTATGTACTAAAAGTATGTACTTTTTTTGTTATGGAAAAGTACATACTTTTAAGTGTGTAGCAAAAGAGTATTCTGGGACATACTACAAAGGCGTCATTTAACGGAAGAAAACGTTGTTGCCTAGTTACGCACAATCAATGTAAACGTATTAAAAATATTTCAATCAGCATACAATTTGTCATGGACTTTCATTCTATCATAGTAACACCGGTTAACATCTTTTTATAGCTCTAAATAATTTACAAAATTGTAGCTGAGAAGAAACAAACTCCTATGAAAAATGGGAGGACTATATTTAATACAAATAATCATTAGCTCCTCCTGTCCTTGCTGCTTCTCCTAGAACCATTACGAAACACCTTGGATTCAAATGTTTATTAGCCGTTAGAGTGCACATCGATCTGTACTTTGAATCATAACCGGAAGTAGTAGACCATCCGGGAATCTTTGGCACACTCTTTTCAACATACTATGATTTGGGACATACTAATTCTATTTTCGAATACTATTTAGGACGGATAGAATGCGAATTGGGACGCAGCAATGGTATTTGATCTGAGCATGCTTTGTCTTTACATTGCATTTTGTGATATTGGAAATGCCTTCGCCTCCTTCTGAGGCCATTACATAAAAAATGTCCCTCACAGATTCAAGAGCACCATTGCATCATACATTTGTGTCCCTTAATCGCACTCAGGCTCACATTTTCTGGGTACAAAACTGTAGATATCACATGAAGATTGCTTAAAGCTTTTATTCAATATTACAGCATATGGCTGGAATCAGTGCACTAAGAGAATGACTGTGTTATCCACATAAACGGCGAAGCAAATCTCTACAGAAAAACACTCAATACATATCAAACTATCTAACAGACAAAGCAATAGTAACACATGGAAAACATCGTAACTCACTTGTGTGTCTTCCTCACTGCTTTGAGTCTCTTATTGTGACAAAAATAAAGTTCCTCCACACTCTCTGATGTGTTCGGATCACAAGGAATGCCATGCAAAGACTGTTTTTAGGACACTGTTAGACACAGTGCGTTCCAACAGAACTGAAGTGCACAACAAGGCTGGTGGTCAGTACTATGTTTTTGGTCTACTGCAATCCATTTCAGGGGAACGCTATAAAAACATGGACATTTGAAGGAACATGAGCAGTTTTGGAGCTCCAGGTGACTAAAGCAACTCAATTCTGGCCCATTCTTGGAACTGTGCAGAACTTGGTGCAGGAGGAACTTTGAAGGACTCACAAAATCTTACAAAAGATGCAAAACACCACGGTGTCCTCGACAACTTCAGCGCTTTCAAGTACGAGGATCACCTTAACTTTGCGGAAACCTACATGTCGGCTGAGTCAAATTGTGAGAAGGTTCTCAGAAATGCAAGCTGCATCAAAATAAGGAGAAAAACAACCTACCACTGCTCAGAAAACAACATACAACTGACCAAATGGAATCTGTCCATGGACGATCCAAAGGAATGGATGCAACAAGGATAAATGGATGCAACCCAGATATTCTAAGGGTATGGAACGTTAACATGGACAACATGAAATGTCAGCGGAGACCAGGACATCTAGATTAGCCCCAGAGTCTGATCCCCTCCGAAAACCTCGTCTCCTAGACAGCCATCGATGAGTCCTCTGCACAATCTGATTCTGCTGCAGCTTAGATTTAAACTGGGTTTGTCTGGCCAGAGGAGAAAGACACTCTATTTCGACACACTATTTCCCCGTTTAATACTGAAAAGCTGCTTTGACACAATTTGCATTGTAAATAGCGCTATATAAATCATGGTGACTTGACATTCAGCACGTTCTTGACTCGTACAGCTGCATCATGTAAATGTTGTCCTACGTTTCCAAGCCAGAGCATGAAATGAATATATTCCTGAAGACAATAATACTAATGGATGGTGTCTTCTACTATGTTTAACACACATAACTTTGTTAAAGTCTCAGAAAATTTAGTTTAGGGTTTCATGACCCTTTAGCTTATGTAGTCAACTGACGTTAATAATGTTCATGTAATGACTCGTGTCTTCACCGGTAACTCTAAACTCATCTTATTGGTTATTGAATTCACAAGATCAACAAATACATGTGATTCTTTTTAATGCCCAAACACTGGAGAAAAAGATAATCTTGCATGCCACGTGAGCATATCTGTAACTGTGCCACAACACTGTTCATTTATTTTCACATTTCCCTTTAATAGTGACAGCCGCAATAGATTTATTTTGAGTGCGTGGGGGGCATTTTTACCCCCTGGTCTTGAATATGAATTTTTGTCTATTTTGGAGGGAGCAGGGCAACTGTGTCTCATATAATACAGCCATTTAATCAGTGTGCTAACAGCTTTTCAAAACAATCATGTCATTGTTATAATTGGGGAAATTGTTAGTAGACAGCAAGGACAGAACTTAAACTAAACTTTCTGCTCATGATGAGAGCTTTTGATTATTGTTTTCAGTAGACGTTTATTTTAAGAAAATTATGAATATGGTCCAGATTTCAGAAGGAAAGCCCTGAACAGAAACAGTATTTTTTTCTGTCACATGTCCATATATCTATATATCTATCATATTTTCTATAAAAAAAAAACATTTAAAAAGCTTTTAAGTATTCAAATCTTAGATGTTTATTAAGATCCTTCTATTATCTATTGAAACCCATAATAATATTTAAAATATTAGTAAACTTAATATACAGGTGCATCTCAATAAATTAGAATGTCGTGGAAAAGTTCATTTATTTCAGTAATTCAACTCAAATTGTG